GGACGGGGGAGGGGCGCGGCGGGGCTCCGGACAGCTCACCCGGGCGGGCCGTGGCGGCGACTGAGGGTTGAGAGAACCAGCGGGGCCCGGCGCCGCCCCTGCCCTGGCTCCGTTCAACCCCCTCGGCGCCGCGCACACCGGCGCACGCGCAGACGCCCCCACCCACCGGACTACCCTCCGGGAAATAGGGGCGGACTTTTGGCGTTTAGGCCCCTCGGGCACTGCCGGGCCCGAGCTGTCCTGGCGCTCGGCTCCGACACTCCCCGCCGCTCCCCGCCGCGCCCCGCCGCACCCCGCCGCGCCACTCACGCTCGTGCGCCTCTTTGCGGCCGCGGGCCGGCGCACCCCGCCGGGCACGGCGGCCAGCACGCGAAGCGCGAAGTGCGCCCACCGCGCCGGCCCACCCGGCCCGCCTCCGGACCGCATCAGACACTACGTGCCTCAGGAGGGGGAAGGGGTGCAAATAGAAACGAACCATGTAGTCTGAGACCACGGCCAAAGAATACTTGTAGCCGCGAGAATGTGATGGTAGTGAACCTACAACCCACGGGTCATCCGGAAGGCCACGCCTGAAGGCAAACAACACGAAGGTTCACGTACTAACTTTGACCGATAGCATTTTAAAACGAGTACAGAATAGGAAATAAGGTGTCCTTCCCGCAAGATAATAAATACAGCCTGATTTTTATAAAAATACGGTGGTGTGAGATCAGCAGCCATTCCGTTTCGGTTTCGGCATAGTTTATTTTACATCTTTTCGACGAAACACGAAATAGACTATCATGAGGTGGGTTTCATGAGCTTTCAAACGCCGTACAGGTTTTAGTGCCAAAGTACTGACTAGTATCTAGTTGAAATGTGTTATTTTCAAGCCAGGTGGCAGTATAACCTCACCGACATTCTTTTCGTGGAGAGAATGAGAACGACTTACCTCTGCGTTGAAAGATCAACTGTTCTTGTCCGTAGAGGTTATGCTTCATAGTAATATGCAGTGAAATGTCCGCCAAACGACGTCCAGCAACGATAAAAGAATGAATGTAAACTTATTGTGTCACCGATGAGTCGCCAGCCGCTGTTGTCATCCAGCAGGCGCTCGAGGACTGTATGAGAAATCTCGCAATAGGTGAAAATCCTTCAAATTTTGTTAGCCAGAGAAATATTACCCGTAGGTTCAGTACTAGACGCGTACCAGCCTAAGGTCCGACATTTCCTGACCCCTCTCACCTGGAAAATCCTATGATGCCCGTGCTGTGAAACGATACCGGCTGGTCGCACTCTAGTTTTGCCAACCTTGCGACACTGACGACATTTCCTGGAGTCGAATCAGAGGGCGCAGTGCGTGGGCCGCGTACAGCAGAGCGGGTGGCCGCAATGGAAAGGCCCTCAATATTTCCCCGACTTGCTTATTTTGATGAGGCTGCTGCTCACCGGGTTGCCCCCCCCCCCTCGTCCTCCTCCCCTCCCCCGCCTTGCGTGGACCTTTGAGCCCTCTCCTCGTTCATTTATGGCGAGCAGCGCCGCGTAAGAGTCCTCGATGGATTAAAGTTGAGCCGGGGAAAGTTTGATTAAATGAATTTCCAGCCTCGGCATCCCATTCCACGGCTCGGGTCGCGCTAATTATTATTGTCGTTACTGCTCCCACTCCACTCGAGTCGCCGGCATGACAACTAAAAGAGGCCTCTTGACCAAAAAAAAGTCATGATTAAAATTGGGTCTAATGTAGAAGTCGAGGGTTGGGGTTGGGGTTGGGGAGCTACCTAATAGAAATAATAATGGTTAGAAAATTTTAAGCAGTTGTACGGACAACTCTCACACACCACAACTCATTCCAACAAAAATATTTACATGACTCTGCAAAAGTCGCCTTTTGCTGAAGGATCTCAATTAAGAATACTTTTGAGAGGGTGGGTGGGCGCGGCACAACATCCGCTTCGCTGTGCAGCTTAGTACAAGGCAAAACAAGCCGTCATCGCCGCGGAGAGGTGCGGCGGGGGCCAGACCTGGCCAGGCTTATCCAGGTCACGCAGCGATACGTACCGCAGAACACAATCGATACAGGTGGAGTGCCCATTGATTAGGCGAAACAGTGTTTTATCAGAAACAGCAGCCGCCCGGGCCTCGCCAAACTGAAGGCCCGCGGTTGAACATCGACAAAAATGTTTGGAAGCGATGCAACTGGGTGTTTATGATGAAATTTGGTCAAGAGGGATATACCAAACGTTAGTGGAAGAGAAGTCATCCATAGTGCACTTTATGGAAATGAGGCGTTCTTGAGGACGGTGACCTCCTTCGCTGATAAGTGCCCCTGCTTATCACGGAGACGCCAGTCTCCCAGCAGAAGGCGTGGGAAGCGAGCGATAGGGCGTATCTCTCTCTCCTCTCGCGCCGTGTAGCCCGGCCGGGCAGTGCAAGGCCGCAGGCCGCTGCATCCGCCGCGCGTCGGGGCAAGCCAGGGCATGGCCTGGGCCAGCAGCGGTGAGCTATAGGGTCTTATCAGCGCACCCAGGCGCACTGCCGAGGGAGGCCCGCCCGGCGCACCCCCCGCCCGGCCCCCGGCCCCGGCGCCCCTTTTGGGAGTCGCCTGCTCGGCACCGTAACCTATTAAACCAAATCGCCAACCGGGGAAACGTAGATTTCATGGTCACGTGACGCGGGGGGCCGAGGTTGCGTGGCGCCCTGCAGTAGTGGCTGTTTACGCCCCTCTCCGCCCCTCTCCGCCCCCCTCCCGCCCCCACCCCCTCCACCTGCCGCCTACCCCTTCGGCGGCTCCGGTGGGGGTGCGTGGCTCATGAGGGTTTAAGAACGGCCTGAGTATGAGAAAATAGTGCGGCGGGCGCGGCGCGGGTTTAAAAACAGACTCGCGCCGCCCTCGCGCCGTCTGACGCCCTTGCAGCACGAGTACAAGGCGGGGCGGGTGGGGGGCGGTGCCGGCCATTCAAGGGTCTAAAGAGCAAGTACTCGCGTTTACCGCAACAACAAAAAACTTTTTCGTTTTTATTTTATTTTTTCGTTCCGCTTTTAAGTTTCAGGGGAGGTGAGAGGTGGTGTAATGTCGCTCATCTTCTATG